CACTATTTGTATAAAAGATTTGATATCAAAAAAATGCCTCCAAGTTAAAATTACATTATCTGGAAAATTCAATATCTAACTTCAATATCTAGCTTTTAAAAAATAAAACCTAAATGATAAATATAAAAACTTTTCCTTTCCCCAAGTGGTAATAATTATTTTATTTAATTCTCTTTAAATTTTATTATCAATTACTGGCGCCAGTTATAAACTCAAAAAAATAAAAATTCAAGTACATATTTTTGCATCTAAGAGCATCAAACAGACATACAAACCTTGGCGCATCCGGATCGCATTAAAATCCGTTCAAACGTGTACTATATTATACTCTTATCTTATACTCTGTATTGCATTAATATATCTTATTGCATTAATTATGTAAATATTATGTTTAAAAAAATCTATGCAGACAAATTTCTCAAATATACAGGGTGTCCCAGACCTAACCATCTGCTAATGGCAGATTCCTGAAGTCATTTAGAGACGAAAAGTCTAATACTAAAATGTTAAAGCATACAATAATTTTCAAATAGGAAACATTTAAAAATGTCCAATTGGTCTGTCCATTATTCGCGCGTTCAGGTCCATCAAATAGTGAAGATACTCCTAGATATTAATGTTTAAATATTAACATAATTTTGCGTATATTTTTGAATTTCTTTTCGTAACTTTTCCTACTTATTTAATTAACTTGCTCTATGTTGATAATATTAATAGCGGTTAAAAATAAAAATTATTTTACGTAATATTGACCTTGGAATGCATCGAGTTATTGTTGCACATCGAGCTGTCAAATGAAGTATTTGTCATATGAAGTATGTTGTAAAAAAATAATATTTTTTATGATATGAGTGTCTTAATCAATATTAATCAAAAAAATTACTTCTTGAACAGATAATAAAGAACGGATATACTATTGATAAAAACTTTCTCAACGTCAGTAATTTATACAAAAATAATATGAAGAATAATTATTCTTGACCTTTTTATAAAATACAATTATGATCACTAACAATTATGATTCTTCACTATGTGACGGACCTGAACGCACGAATAATGGACAACCTGATTGGACATTTTTAAACGTTTCCTATTTGAAAACTATTGTATGCTCAACATTTTAGTATTAGAATTTTCGTTTCTAAATGACTTCAGGAATCTGCCATTAGCAGGTGCAATTAGGTTTGGGACACCCTGTATAAACAAATATATGTTTAATAAATGTTCATAAAAAATAATAATTTATTAATAAATATTAAAACATGAATATATATGTTTTTATTGTATTTCATTCTAATAAAATATGTTATTTATTCTTTGCATTAATTACGTAAATATTACTTTCAAGTCAGATTCAGAAACAAATATGTAACGATACGCCCAAATCATTCTCCAGTGATTGGATCCTCTGCAATCCTGCCATCGACAGATTCGCGTAGAATAACCGACGTGAAGAATTCACGTGAAAGACATGTATATCACAATAAACCGCGCGGATAATCCCCCCGTCGCTAGCTCCACTACCGGCAGTGTCACTGAACGTATCCGCGGAATCGCCGAGCCTATTCGATGAATTTCGCAAATTTCTCGGCGGAATCATTTCCGGCGAAGTGAGCCTCAGAATCCGAGTTCAGCCGACCTGTACCCGATTCTTCCCGATTTATGGCCGACTCGGGTATATTAACTGACGCCGACGGATGAATTTTGTCTGTTCCCGGCGAGATAGCAATCAGTCCAGTGCTGATCTCGGTGAATACCTGTCTAGATATCAGTAAGCGAGCCTAAAGTACTACCTAGCAAGCCAGGAGCTTCTGGCGGATCGCTCCCGTCTCTGAAGCACACAAGATTATTCATAAGTTAAGACGCTTCTTAACTTGGCCTCCTAAGCAGGACTTCTGTGCAACATCGATCGCTGTTGACGACAGAACAGAGAGCTTCCTGTTTCTGAGCCGCAGCAAATTCTAAGTCCCAATTCTGATCCGAAAAATCCGTTCCAAATACGCGATAATACTTTTGACGGCTATCAGTCGATCGGCAATCGCGTCGAACACTGCGTGCAAAGACACCCCGCGTACCGTCTCGTACCGCGCGCCTGCAATCGCGACGCGCCAAATTCTTGGAAGAGCCGTGAGTAAAAGCCAGTGTACGATTCGTAAAATTCGCGAGCATTTTCGGCGAACAACGTCCGAGATTCTGAGAACAGAAATTCTTACCGTGTATATATTGTAAATACCGATCAAAACTAAACTATAAAACCAGTCACTAAACCAGTCACTGTAAATATGTGTGTAAGAATATATACTTATACATAGCTCACACAAAATCTTCTCCACTTTATTTCTTTACCGAAATTCTCTCTCTTCCTGACAATCCGACTGACATTATCCCGCAAAACCGTGAGAATGAGCCACAAACCGATACGTAACCATTTTAAATATATTTAATATAATATATAAAATTAATTAATAATGAATAGATATATATTACTAATTAATTGTCTAGAGCCATTAATTGAATTTAATCAGTATTGATAAAAAGTGATGAATTGTAAGGACATAAATAAAAAAAATTAATTTATATTTAAATGATAATAAAATTTATATTTTAATGTAGAAAACTGTCTATTTACCTAAGACATCGTTAAGTTTTAATACGACCCCGAGTGCGCCAAGTTTTTGCATGTCTATTTGATGCTCTTAAGTGCAAAGATATGTACTTGAGCTTTTATTTTTATTTTTTTGAGAAGATACAACTGGCGCCAGTAATTGATAATCAAATTTTAAGAGAATAAATAAAATAACTCTTATTGGAGAACTGTCATTTGGAGAAAAGAAAAGTTTTTATATTTATCATTTAGGTTTTACTTTTCAAAAGCAGTTAGATATTGAATTTTCGAGATAATGTAACCTTAACCTTGGCGGCACTTTTTTAATATCAAATCTTTTATACAATGATGCATATTATAAAAGTTGAGTATTATATATATATATATATATATATATATATATATATATATACAT